TGAATACCCCTCTTTGTATCCAACCCAGCTTCGGTGGCACGCTTCATAAGCTCTTCCCACTGCAATGGAGACCCTTTCACAGCTAGTACAAGTGATTTGACCTTGCTGAGTGTTCCTCAAATGACTTTCAACCCATCTCTAGCAACCAAATTGAGAATATGGCAGGCACATCTAACATGAAAAAACATCCCATCACACACTAGGGAACCATTAGCATTCTCTTTCAGATCTGAAATAATATCATTGACAGCCACTTCATTTGAACTAGCATTATCCAAAGTCAAAGCAAACAGTCTATTTTCAATGTACCATTTAACCATAACTTCAGTGAATGTCTCAGACAACTTTGCACCAGTATGCCTACCTTTTACATTGAAGAAACCAATAATTCTCTTTTACATACGCCAACTATCATCTATCCAATGAATTATAACACACATGTATCCTTTGTTTTGGCATGAGGTCCACATATCCATTGTTGCACTAAAGCGGCAATTCATAGTTTTCAAGTGTGCATACAGAGTTTCCTTTTCTTGGAAATAATTGTCCATTATTTCTTTCCTAACAGTGACACGAGATTTTATCGGAAAGCTAGGACGGAGAGATTTTATGAAATCAATAAGATACTCATGCTCAACTATATTGAAAGGATATTCATACATGGTTATTTCCAAATTCAATTTCTTAAAGCTAGCTTCTTGGTCATATTTGAAAGGCTGAACATGAGCTGCTACAGAACGAGGGTTCTTACCAACTTTAAGCTGTTGTTGTCCCTTCACAGTACTGTGTTTTGACTTCAAATGGTTCTTGAATGCAGTCGTCCCATGGACGCCCTCAGCTCTGTACCTCTGATCACACCTAGCGAAATTGCAGTATCCCCAATCTGCTTTTCTTCCACCTCTACGTACTCCTTTTTCTTTGTGAAATAATTCTAGACCCACGATGTGCATTTCTTGTACCTCTTGCCAGAAAGGTGAGCCTCCTCTTCATCCTCGCCATCCTCTGGGTCATCATTGTCAACATTTGGAGTTGTGGTTGTTGCTGGTGCACAAGCGGGTCCAGCGCCACTGCCAATGCAACTAGTGTCAAAATTTGGAGCACAAGAACCCATCACTGACACTAATGCTGCTACTGATGCTTCTGTAGTTGGACTTTCACAAGTTCCACTAGGGCTAATACTCTGAGATGCAGACCTTTTGCCCCTTGATCCTGCCAAGAGCCAATTGAAACATTGCTAAATCAGTGCATGCCGATCCCAAATAATCAAGCAAAATGTCAGGAAAATTTGATTGTTTTTAGCCGTGTATCAAGCTAACTACAAACCCCTCGCACCAAGCACCGCATTCGAAGAAACGAAGCTAAAATCAAAGGTCGGGGTCCTAAGGGTCTTAAGCCTGCGAAAAATTGAACCTTTGCCTGCAGCTCTCCCAAATCGCACCGCCACATCCTCTCAAAAGAATCAAGAAAAATCAAAGAGCAGCACAAGCAATCCGCCCAGGATTTGTTGTGCTTCGACAAAGGTGCAGGCTTGAACCGGGGGGAGACGAGCTAGTGGATCTATCCTTACTACAGAAGGAGATGAATCAGTACCTGGCGCTGGAGAGGGAGAAGCCGTTGCTGCCGGAGCTGCCGGCGGCGCACGCTCTTGGTCTTATTCTTGTCCTTGCTCTTCGTTCCAGGAGCAGAAACACCTCCTCCAGTGGGCACCATCGATGGGCGGAGTGGCGGCGCTGCTGGGTCATTGGCCTTGGTGCCGGCGGCGCCCCGCTCCGGTCTCCGGCGCCGTCACGAATAGAGAGAGAGAGAGAGAGAGAGAGAGAGAGAGAGAGAGAGGGAGAGAAGCAGAGGTGAGGGAGGGAGCTCAGCTGGCGGCGGCGGTCCTGGACGGCGAGGCACCAAGCTCCGGTCTAGCGAGGCGGAGAGAGAGGAAGCGAGAGTGAAGAGAGAGCTGGGCGCCGGCAGGGCAGTGGTGCTCGGCGTGAGGGAAGCAGAGCACCGGGCGATGGTGGAGCCGTGGAGGAGAGGCAGGGGAGCGGCAGTCCGGCGGTGGGGCGAGTCGGGGACTCGGGGCGCCGCCAGCGCCAGAGAATAGGGAGGGGAGGAGACGAGGAGCGAATGGGATTAGGGTTGTCTAACTTGGGCTGGGCCGTAGTGGGCTGTACTGCTATGCAATCGAGTGCTGGAGCAAATTCGGTTCGAACCGAATTTTGAATTCGGGATATTCTGAATTAAAAGTAGAAAAGTAGAAATCGGTTGAACAAAGCCTAAACCGAATTCGATCCGATTTCGAATTTGGTGTTCCGAATTTCGAATTCGAATTTAGTATTCCGTATTTTGTCCGAAAATACGAATTCACTCGGGTCAAATGTAGAAAACGATGCGGTTTGGTTCGGGATATTTCCTTTCCGTTTTCATCCTTAGTTACAAGTATGTATAGCGGGCTGCAGCACTGATTCGGAAAAGGAAGACGCCAATGCTGCTCTTGAAGCTTGACATCTCAAAGGCTTTCGATATATACCCTCTCGTGGCCGTTCCTGCTGGAGGTACTTCAGGCGCATGGATTTGGGGAGCGATGGCGTCGATGGATTGAAGCTCTTCTGTCCACAACAACATCCAGAATCATCCTGAACGGTCATCAAGGGCCACCGATCAGGCACCTGAGGGGGGTGCGCCAAGGAGATTCTCTGTCGCCCATGCTATTCATTATCGCAATGTATGTGCTGCATAGATTATTTCTCAAAGCATCCGCTGATGGGGTACTTAGAAAGATGCAGCCGTCTGAAATCAAGTTTCAGTGCAGTCTATACGCTGACGACGTGATACTGTTCATCCGTCCGACAACACAAGAAGCGACGGCGGTTAATTAGAGGAATACTCTAACGTATTTGGAACGGCTTCTGGGCTACACGCAAACCTGTGGCAAAGTGTTCCATCACCCCGATCTATGGAGGGGAGGAAACTTTAAACGACATCGTCTCCATCCTAGGATGCCAAGTTCAGCCCTTCCCCATAAGGTACTTGGGACTGCCGCTGAGCACGAGAGCGATCCCGAAAGCAAACTATCAATCTCTGTTGGAGCAAGTGGCAAGGAAAATACCACCCTGCCACGAAGCACTGATGGCAAGAAGCGGAAGGCTCATATGGATCAAGTCGGTCCTTCGGTCAGTCCCCATCTACGCCATGATGGCGGAAAACCTGCCGGCCTAGGCGAGAAAGGAAATCGACGCCATCTGCCGCAAATTCTTTTGGGCAGGATCCGATCAGTCCGTTCAAGGAAAATGCATGGTCGCCTGGCCGTCGGTATGCAGACCAACCGAGCTGGGAGGGATAGGAATCAGCGACTTGAAGCTCGCCGGCTACGCCCTGCAGACACGGTGGCTCTGGCTTCAAAGAACAGACGAGGACCGGGCCTGGAGCCAACTGCCGGTCCGAACGTGCCCCCAAGTGCAAGCTTTTTTCAAGGCATCAACATTCATGGTGGTGGTGAATGGACAACAAACGCTGTTATGGGAAAGACCGCTAGATCAACGGTGAAGCTGTCAGTGACATCGCCCCTGCTCTTTACCCACTGGTGCCTACAAGAACTCGACGACGGCAGTCCGTAAGAGCTGGGCTGCTGAACAGGACGTGGGCACGCAGCATAACCGGCGGAATGTCAACCCAGGCCATCATTGATTATTTACATCTTTGGAACACAGTGGCCGACTTCCAGCTCTCCGATCAACATGATAAAATGGTCTGGCGCTGGACGGCCAGTGGTGAGTATACGGCCAAGTCCGCGTACAAGATGTTACATACAGGCTCCACCCCTTTCATTGGCCACAAGCTCATCTGGAAAACGTGGGCGCCATTGAGGATCAAAATTTTCCTCTGGCTCACCTTCAAGCGTAGGCACTGGACCGGTGATAGAAGAAGGAGACATGGCCTGGATGCAAGGGACCGTTGCTACCTCTGCGATCAGGAAGAACAAACCATCGACCACATCATCGCGACTTGCCCTTTCTCTAGGGAAGTTTGGTTCTTCGTCTTGCAAGCACTAGGGCAGCAGCTACCCCAAGCATCACCGACTGCACTGTGCTGGTGGCGGAGTCTGCGTTCCTTGTTCAGTGGAGAGCGAAGGTTAGGACTCGACTCACTGTTCGCGCTGGTCTCTTGGCTGATTTGGAAGGAGCGCAATACGCGATGCTTCCACGACGCTTCGGCGAGCGTCAGTGATCTATTGCAACTAATCAAGGCCGAAGCGGACCGCTGGATTGAGGCCGGCGCCGGAGAACTACGAGCTTTAGCGCGAGGCTAGCATACCATTTAGGGTGCTCTCTTGGTTCTGTGGTTGTTATTCAAAATGTAGCCGCTAGAGTTATTCTGTCGGCCGGGTTCGGTTTCTAATAATACTAACGTGCGCCCCACGCTTCGCGTGGAAAGGAGAGGAAAGGGGAAAAAATGGTGAGGAGTAAAAAAAAAAAAAGTACTGTTCTTTATCGGGTCGGGTACTGTTCATCGTGATCCGTTACTGTTTATCTGACCTGCCTCAAACTTATAGTTTTTTATAGATATACTCTCTTCTTCTAATGCAACGATGTGCACACTCGTGTGTATTCGAGAAAAAAAAATTATCCTTTAAAAAAAACACAGCTCTACTGATAGCCAGCGAAATGCATCGTACCCTGGACCACCGCTTTGCGGCTACGAGGAGCGACACGCAAGAGCTGGCGGTGCCCAACAAAAATAGCAGAAGTTCGCTCCGTTTATATACTTGATCCCTGCGTCGTGAAATTCGTGATCATCCGACATCCGTGACCGTGCACGCTCAGGCTCCGCTTGCTTTCGGCAACTCGGGGTCGTGCTCTCCGGATGGGCCGGCCCACGTGGCTCCGCTTGGACCACTCCTGCTCTTGGGCTATATATTGCCGCTCCGCCTCCACCACGTCTGCGCTGCGCGAGCCACACGCACACCGCCCGCACACCCCACCGGCCACACAGGCACAGACGGCGACTCGACGATGACGGCCGGCCAGCCGCTGCGCACCGAGCCAGCAGCCCAATCACCGCGGGTGAACCACAGCACCCCGCCGGCGGCGCTCCAAGCAGACATCGTGCCGTCGTACCCGCCCCCCGAGTCGGACGGCGACGAGTCCTGGGTCTGGTCCCAGATCAAGGCCGAGGCGCGGCGCGACGCGGACGCGGAGCCGGCGCTGGCGTCCTTCCTCTACGCCACGGTGCTGTCGCACCCGTCCCTGGACCGGTCCCTCGCCTTCCACCTCGCCAACAAGCTCTGGTCCTCCACGCTGCTCCCCACGCTCCTGTACGACCTCTTCGTCGCCACGCTCGCCGCGCACCCGTCCGTCCGCGCCGCCGCCGCCGCCGACCTCGTCGCGGCGCGGTCGCGGGACCCAGCCTGCGCAGGCTTCGCGCACTGCCTCCTCAACTACAAGGGCTTCCTCGCCGTGCAGGCGCACCGCATCGCGCACGTGCTCTGGGCGCAGAGCCGCCGCGCACTGGCGCTCGCGCTCCAGTCCCGCGTCGCCGAGGTCTTCGCCGTCGACATCCACCCGGCCGCCACCGTCGGCAAGGGGATCCTGCTCGACCACGCAACGGGCGTCGTCATCGGGGAGACGGCCGTCGTGGGCAACAACGTCTCCATCCTCCACCACGTCACGCTGGGCGGCACCGGCAAGGCGGTGGGCGACCGGCACCCCAAGCTCGGCGACGGCGTGCTCATCGGCGCCGGCGCGACCATCCTCGGCAACGTCAGGATCGGCGCCGGCGCCAAGGTCGGCGCAGGGTCCGTGGTGCTCATCGACGTGCCGCCCAGGAGCACCGCCGTGGGGAACCCCGCCAGGCTGATCGGCGGGAAGAAGGGCGAGGATGTCATGCCAGGGGAGTCCATGGACCACACCTCCTTCATACAGCAGTGGTCAGACTACATCATTTGAGCTTGAGCCACCACAACCGCAAGCTGCAAGAGTGCTCGTCTTGCTACTGCTATACGCCTATACTATTGTTGCGTTTTCTGTGTATATGTGCCTGTGTTAGTTGTAAGTTCTTGCTCCAGTGACGTGAACCGTGCTGGACATGGTCTAGGTACGTGTCTAGCTCGTCTCTGGAACCTGATGTCCAGAAAGATGTGCTGAAAGTTCGCCCTGTAATTTTCGAAGCAGATGAACAATATTACTTTTTACTCGAGCAAACAGTAGGAAAAAGGATAATTTTTGTTTCCAGATCAATTTTTTTTTTTGAGGTCAACAACGGGGAGGATTAAACCCATCCCCACCTGAATTTCATTTTCACTTGATTCCGGCGTAGCCGGTGGGTGGAAGGGGCGAAGCCCTCCAAATAGGGTTTGGATTACAAATCAGGGAGAGGGGGAGCGTTTACATAGTAAGGGCAGAACTCCATCTACTAGCAGTGATCACATTCTTCTTCGGGATCCTGCAGCTCCAGGAACGCCCTCTCTCTGCAGGCGGCAGCCAGGCGTTCCAGGTTGGGCTCCAGGTGTCTGAAGACAACCTCATTCCGGTGTTTCCAAATTTCCCAGCAATAGAGTAGTATGAGGGGGTGAGCGACACTACAGTGCACTCGGGACGGGATCTTGGTTTTCCACAGCTCAGCTGCCTTAGCTATTTCCCCAGGCGCCCAGCCTATATGTGACCAGAAGCCGCGGACGAAGCTGAACCCAAAGATGATATGGTCTGCGGTCTCGTCTTCCAGTCCGCAGACTTCACAACGGGCGTCGTCCAGGATGTTCTTGCGTACCAGCGACGTCTTGCACTCAATTCTGTTCTGGGTCAGCAGCCAGCCGAAGATTTTCACCCTTGGGGGGGCGAAGTCCCTCCACACAAAGGTGTACGACGGGCAAGCATGGTCACCGCGCGTTGATGCACGGTATATGGCCCCAGACAGTAGGCGGTGATTGTTGTCTTCGAAGAAGCTAGTGCGTTGATCACGGGTCTCATCCAATGTAACCTCCTGGAGGAGTTCCTCGAGGTGACTGAGCTCCGCAGCGGCTTGGGCGGTGAGCCTGTGCTGAAGGAGGTTGCGCAAGCCCATGTCCACGACGTCGCGGACAGACGTCACGCGGCCGCAGTAGTGGCTATGCAAAGCTGGCATCTTGTCTGCAAGCGGCCCATCTAGTAGCCATGAGTCTTCCTAGAAGGAGGTGTCGCGGCCGTTTCCCACAGTGACCGTCGTTATGCGTTGGTAGGCGGGGAGGAGGTCACGTAAGGCGGTCCAGTGCGTGCCGGCCATGTCGCCGCCGAGGTCCGCCAAGTCCACATGAGCAGTGACCCATCGTGCCCAGGCTGAACCGGCGGGATGGTGGAGGCGGTGTATCATCTTGAGCAGCAGGCAGGCATTCTGGGCATCTAACTGTCTGACTCCCAGCCCACCATCCTCCTTGTCGCGGCATACTCTTTCCCACGCCACCAGACACTGGGCTCCGGAGGCATGTTCTGAGCCCGTCCACAGGAACGCACGACGTCGCGCATCAATGGCGGCGATCACCCCTGGCGGCGGCAGCATGGCTCCCATTGCATAGGTGGGGATACCAGACAGGACCGAGTTGACAAGGACGACTCGGGCGGCTGTGCTGAGGAGCAGTGCCTGCCAGCTTGCCAGGTATTTGTCCAGATCAAATTTTGACTTGTGAGCCTGTCAATCATTGCTTGATTGAGCGATGCTAAAAAAAATTATCACTCAGGAGGGCTTGTCAACTTGCAACTCTCTTTCATGATCGGGACAGGGAACATTTCCAGGTCCGCGTGTTCATGCCGTGCACAAGAAACTCTGAAACCTCATTGAAGCTCTGGCAAACTGAAAAGATCGGTGAATTACCTTTTGTATCTGTGTTTGATTATTGTCATGTGCAGTTTGCCACGTTGCCCTATCTGTATCGGTGAATTACACCACAAGTCCACAAGTTTCAGTAATTCAGAATGAGGGCGCGCTTAAGTGACCGGAATGAGCGAAACACCGCCATATCTCTCAGTCAGCGACTGTGAAAGATGATGTCTTCTCACTTGCCAGCACCTACAGATAAGATGGATATCGCATTGGCTCCTCTTTTTTCTGGACGAAATAACCAAATCTTTACACGGACGCCTTGATGCAGCCTTAATCTGTGCGTAAGATACAACGTTGTATACTGCTAAGCACATGGTTTTAGATATTCTCGTGGGGAATCTCAACGGTGTCATTGTGTGTTCACACACACCAGCTACTCGTGCGAATAACTAAGGTGGGGAATCTCAACGGTGTCATTGTGTGTTCACACACACCAGCTACTCGTGCGAATGATGTTTAAATTAAAATTTAGGGAGGTCATATCGGGTGTCATATTATGGTGTTACATAGGAGTGTTCGGATAGTAATAATAAAATAAATTATATAAGTTCTCGTAATCCGCGAGATGAATATATTAAGCCTAACTAATCTATCGTTAGCACATATTTACTGTAGCACCACATTGTCAAATCATGGACTAATTAGGCTTAAAATTTTGTTTCGCAAATTAGTCACAATCTGTGCAATTAGTTAGTTTTTTAGTCTATATTTAATATTTCATGCATATATCAAACATCCGATGTGATAGGGAGTAAACTTTAGGGGGAACTAAACGAGGCCTAAGTGTGTATATATAAAAGATATATTCCACCCGTTCCAAATTATAAGTCGCTTTAATTTATTTGGTACATCTATTTTGCTATGCATCTAGATATCCATTTTGCTATGCATCTAGATATAATAATATGTCTAGATACATAACAAAATGGATGAATCAAAAAATATCAAAATGACTTATAATTTGAAAAGGGGGAGTACATTCGCGATGATACAGTGTGACTTTGTCATTGCCAACTTGATGCAACATATGACAGTCGTAGGCGGAGAAGAAGGCGAACACGGCTTTGGCATCGTCACATTGATTTTGGAACTTTACCGATTTAGGACATTTTTTACCTTGCAGCTCGCTGATTGAGGGCCTATTTATTTCCAATCTTTTGGCAAAACTTTAGCACTTTTAGCCCATCTTTTGGTAAAATAGATCTAAACAGCAAGGGCAAAAAAGAGCAAAACCTAGTCAGCAAAACTTTTGCTATTTGGGACTCAACAGGCCTAAAATTGGGTAAAAACGTCTGGGGGCGCGAGCTGGACGGCCACTACCCCACACCCACCCACCCCGTTGCTCGGTACCCTATCCATTCCCCCACACTCACCTCCTGGCGCTCTCGCTCTCTCTCTCTCTCTACGCGAACCCTAGCTCCGACCGCCGCTCTCGCTCTCTCCCGATCCACCAACCCTAGCTTCGTCCGCCGCCACCGCCCAGATCCCGCTCCTCCTCCCTGGCCCCCAGATCCAGCTCCTCCTCCCCGGCGTGTAGCTGCAGCTTGTCCTTCCCGCCGCCAGATCCAGATCCATGCGTCGCAGATGGACGGCTACAACGGCGACCGCACCAGGGACTTCCTATTGTAGCCTAATCGGTATTCCCTTATCGGCGGCTACGACACCTTCTCCGAGCAGCGTCAATGCTCCCCAGATGGGCAAGGCAACACTCGATCTCAAATCCCATGGCGAAGGGTGGCCCGGAATGGCGGTCTATGTGGGCCTCCTTCGCTCTAGCCCGCAAGATGGAGGCATCGGCGTAGCATGGGCCCCCTCCCATTCGTGTCCACAGCGGCAGTCGTACCCTCGGCTTACGTGCGGCTCGTAGTGGCGATGGAGGAGGCTCCACGGCCGCACGTGCCGTGTCATCATCCTACGGTGGTGGCCGTGGCCCTCCCTTACCTCTTGTGATCGTCGGCGTGCACGACTCGTGTGGATCTACAACTAGCGTGCTTGTCGGATCCAGGATTCGCGGTGGACGTCGACGACAGCTATTGCGGAAGACAACTTCGACATCAACCACCAGAATGATTGAAAGGTCCTAATGGTTAAAGGGGGGCGTGAATAGCCTATTAAAAATTTCTACAACAACACTTAGCAAACTGGTTAGACAAATATAAGGCGAAGCGAGTGTTGCGCTAGCCTAATAAAAAATGCAAGCCACCTACCATAATTATAGCTTCTATAGTCTCTATCCATACAATGGCTATGTTGCTACACTAAGTTAGTGTGCTCTCAAAGGCTAACTAAAGAGCCCCACTAACTAAACTAACAAGCTCTCACAACTAGTTACACTAAAGAGCTTGACAACTAGTTTGCAGTAATGTAAAGAGATAGAGCAAGATGATTATACCACCGAGTCAAGGAATGAACCAGTCAATCACAAGAGTGAATACCAATGAATACCAATCACCTCGAAATCAAATGACGACACAATGGTTTTTACCGAGGTTCACTTTCTTGTCGGCAAGCTAGTCCTCGTTGTGGCGATTCACTCACTTGGAGGTTCACGTGCTAATTGGCATCACACGCTAAACCCTGGATAGGGTGCCGCACAACCAACACAAGATGAGGATCATACAAGTCATGAGCAATTTACTAGAGTACCTTTTGGCTCTCCGACAGGGAAAGGTCAAGAACCCCTCACAATCACCACGATCGTAGCCAGAGACAATCAACAACCTCTGCTCAATGATCCTCGCTGCTCCAAGCCGTCTAGGTGGCGGCAACCACCAAGAGTAACAAGCGAATCCCATAGCGAAACACGAACACCAAGTGCCTCTAGATGCAAACACTCAAGTAATGCACTTGGATTCACTCCTAATATCACAAAGATGATGAATCAATGATGGAAATGAGTTAGAGGGCTTTGACTAAGCTCACAAGGTTGCTATGTCAATGCAAATGGCTAAGAGAGTGAGCTTGAGCCGGCCATGGGGCTTAAATAGAGAGCCCCCATGAATAGAGCTGTTGGCTCTCTGTTCACTGAAAGATCGGGGCGACCAGACATGCCGGTCAGATCGACCGGACGCGGGACCCCAGCGTCCGGTCGCGC